CAATTTGATGTCTCCCTTGCCAGAAATGGACCATCAGCAATGGACACTTTATCTCTACCAGAAAATAAGTGAAAGGTAGTGAACAGTGATGACAAGCTAGTCATATGGTCAGATGCACCTGAGTCTATTACCCAACAATGTTCAGTGTTACCTGGAGCTGAAGCATGGTAAGCTGAGGCCCGAGCACCTGAATGAGCAAAGAATGATGTGGGAGGAGCTGATGGTGGCTGAGATGATTGAGCTGAATTCCCAACTTCCTTTTCCAACTGAGTTAGGGCAGCCCAGGCAATAGCTAGGGTGTCTAGAGGTGTGCCTTCTATGCTCGATGAGGATGCAGAATCAGTATTAACAGCCATATGAGCATTATCCCTTTTGTTCCTCAGTTTTGCTGGAACTAGATGAGGGTGAAGCTTCCAACACGTGTCTTTAGTATGCTTAGGTTTCTTGCAGTGTTCACACACTAGATCCCGCTTATCTTCCTTCTTTATATCCCTCTCCGTATCACCCCCAGACTTAGGTTTAACTGATGCCAAGGCTGGTGGGAAGGGCTGATGCTGCATCATAACCTTTCTCTTAGTCTCTTCACTATGCACTAAGGAGTAGGCTTGAGAAAAGGTCACACTGTCCCTTGTTAATATTTGTTGTCTCACAATATCATAGTCGAGATTCAGACCATCTAGGAATTCAAAAACCCTATTAGTTTCAACTTGCTTTCTATGAGTCTGTGCATCCTTCTGACTTTCTCACTCAAGTGTTTCTAGGTGGTCAATTTCATGCCACAGAGATTTCAAGGTAGAGAAGTAAACCAAGACTGGTTTCTCTCCTTGCTTAAGGTTGTTAACCTCATACTTCAATTCATAAGCCCTAGCAACATTAAGGGGTTGGGAGTAAGTCTCTTTCATGACATCCCAGATTTCCTTGGCTGTTTTTGCCCACAAATAGTTCTGGATGATATGTGGCTACATGGAGTTGCACAGCCATGTCATAACCAAATAGTTCTCCTGAACCCATTTGGTATAMGTTTGGTCYTCYTTAGTTGGTTCTTTCACATCTCCCAACAAGTAGCTGAGTTTTCCTCTACCCCCAATGGCCATCATGGCTGATTGAGCCCATTCTAAGTAGTTTGATCCATCAAAATTCACAGTTGTAATCTGAAAGGCATTCTCAGACATGTTACCGAATTGCTAGTCCCAAAAACACCTTCCCCTGATTCTTGAACTCCATTCTTCGTCAAGAATTAATAATAAAAAACCTTTTAAACTACTGTAATAGAAAACATCACCCAAACAACTGATAACAACTAGCCTAGGTCTTCCAAATAACAAAGAAAACAGAATTCTGTATGAAACCAGTTCAAAATCTGATYTGAAACCAACAACAGTTTTGAATTTTAGGGTTTTCTCTCAAAACCCTAAAGGAAAAAACACAGATTTTCCATCCGCACCTCTTAGAATAGACCAAGATGATTTTTTCAAGGTTATTCTCAAGAAAAAACTTACTTTATGAAAGAAAATCTCTAGCCGCCACCTTCTGTTTGATGCAAAACCCTAATCTTGAGGATCCGAAGCCTTTTCTGATTCTTCCTAACTACTGAAACTCTCCCAACCTTCTACAATCTTCTTAGTAGCAGCCGCACACTACCAGTAACCTCCAAGAATCAGCCGATCCTTCTTCTTTGTTGAAAAACTTCTAAACCTAGGAGATTCTCATGTAGTCAATCTAATTAGACTAACATAAGAGCTCCTAGATCGGCTTTGATACCAAGTAGTCGATAAAGACTACAATCAGTCTTGAATTCAAAAGAAAAGAAAGAAGAAATTTCAGAAGAGAAGAAGAAGAGAGGGAGAAAAGAGAAGAAGCACACGAAGAGATTTTGAAAAGAGAGAGAGGGTTGATCAGTTGATCTGTCGACCCACTCTTAATATTTATATATGTTGACTAATTGTAAAAGGGCTGAATTGCCCTTATTGCTTACATGGCAAATAAACTAATAATAAAGCTGAAATAACAAGCTGTAATAACAAACTGAAATAACTACCAACTAACACTGACATAACTAACAAAAAATAAACTAACAAAAATATGCTGCCATACGAACACAGTGGGGTCCACATCAGTGTTCTCTACATTGACCTCCCCATTGCAGTCCGTAAAGGCAAATGGCATTGCACCACATCAGTGTTCTCTACAACAATAAAATAAAACAAAGAGAAAGTTTCAAATTCAGACTTGGTTAATGACTTCCCAAACTAGACTCTCTCTTCCTATGCTTTCTCCTAAAAGATTTTCTGCAAACGAAATTTAGACCAAGGTTCAAAGTATCGATACAGTTTGATACGCCAAATTGGGTGTACCGGACTTTGTATCAACACATTTTTTTTAGGTTTTTTCAAAATATGTTCAGTGGGTCGGTTAAAGGCCTGGTTACCCCCTAAAACAGGTCTTACCCCCAAAAGTCTTTATATTTCGCATATAGGTGACCCACCGATATGATACGTATCGGCCCATATCGGCCGATGCATGACGAAATTTTGAACCTTGATATAGGGAGTGAAGAGGTGATTCGATTAGCTGGAATATTGGGGTGTGAGGTAGGAGATTGGCCATTACAGTATCTGGGACTACCTTTGGGAGGAAATCCTAATATGGATAGTTTTTGGTACCCATGATTGAGAGATTTACAAAGAGACTTGTGAATTGGAAGAGAAATTACATTTCTGTGGGAGGTAGGATAACCCTGATAAAGTTGATGTTGGCTAACTTGCCAGTGTATTTCCTATCTACCTTTAGGATACCGGTGGAAGTAACAAACCAGCTAGAGAAGATTACGAGGGACTTCCTTTGGGAACCAGGAGACACCAAAAGAGACCACCTAGTGAAGTGGGAGGTGGTTTCTAGAAGTAGAGATGAAGGGGGACTAGGAATAGGAAATCTTAGGCTAAGAAAAACAGCATTATTGGGGAAATGGTTGTGGAGATTGCCTTTGGAACAGGACAGACTTTGGCATAGAGTGATTATTAGCATTCATGGATTGGAAGACAATGG